ATTCCGTTTATAATTCAATAAAAAATGCTTTCTATAAAAAAAGGTCCTTATTGATACTGATCGATTCATTATTTTTCGGTAGAGGCTAAAAATGTATAACTTTTAATAGTCGATGAGTAACATAGTCGAGTAAAAGAGTTCGTCATTGAACTTAAGCTTACTCACATAAATTTTGATCTGCATTAAAACATATATTTTCTTTTTTTCTGCTACTTTTTTTTTTTTTTTTTTAAGAGTAAGGCAGTTTTGTTTGTGGAAGCATAAGTGTAAAAAATTGTAAATTAGACAGAATAGCAGTCGAATATGGCTACCAAACTTACAATTTGAATTCAACAAACATTTTAATTCAACAAAACGAAAAAAAAAATTTTTTAAATAAGAGTTTTAATATCCAGATAATAGCAATTTAAAAAAATTTAAGTATTATCAGATTTTTTTACAACTTACAAATATAGTTACAGATATGAACTTTAATGGTTAACAAGATTTCAGAGCAACATAGAACATTCAAAATTTATTTTCACCCAAGAATGTTGCGCATTTTCCGTCCGTTGAAGGCAGGGGAACTCCTTTATTGATGCCCGGACATTCATCACGATTTTTTGGAGCCGGCGGACGCTTCGTGTCATCTCACGTTCTGTCCTCGGAGCCTTGAGTCCACATCTGACCCCTCCGCTCCTCCTGATGGTTCCACAAATGATGCAGGGCCACTGAGCAGAGGGAAAATCAAGAGAAATTTGCCTCTGGGAATTGGGTTCGTGAGCGGGAAAGGATTTCCATCGCTGGCATACGTTTTGTTTGAAAAATGCACGGGACATTACGAGGAGCTTCTGCTGCACGGATCCATGATGTATGACGGCTGGTCAAGTGGCAGGTGGCAGGTGGGTGGTGCACTGAGGCGTCTAGGCGGCAGCTGCTCGCCTTGTTGCGTCCTTGGGGGCGGAAAGGACTTTCCTTTTCGTGATCTTTCGGGTCCCTGACTGGCCGTCAGCCCTCGCTCGGCGTTCTGCTAATGGCTCCGGTCCATTATCTCGTCATGTTTGTTACAAAATTTAATTACTCTTATTTATTTTTCACTGCCCGTCCTCGTTCGCGTCCTTGTCCTGTTCTGGTTTATGATTTTCAACTTCGTCAAAAAATGCGAAGGCGAAAATTAAATGTGAAAAAAATGAAATTAAAAACACTTTTTGCATAAAGCGTCCTTTTTCCGCTTTCCCCCAGCCCATTTCCTTTCAGTGGTCTCATGTTTTGCCATCGCCTAATGTCTCGTCACTTGACCCCTCCACCAAAGCTGTGATATTTTTTCTGGGGTTGGAGTGTTTTTTGGGGATGAGTGTTTTGGGAAAATGTCATAATTTAAAGCTGAAATTAAATTTTTTATTGCTGACACGTTAAAATGATTATTTAGACATTATGACACTCGAAAGCAAAATGATTGTATGTATTACAATTGTATTTTAGGATTTAGGTGGACTTGTTTATGCTTCCAACAATTTTCACAATGGCTTTCAATTTGGGTAATTTGATAAAAAAAAAAAAAAATTAATTCAATCTTTTTTTCTGTAATCCTCTGTTTAGGATTTCGTACATTTAAATAGGTTCTTATCAATCTCATTTTCGCTGCATACTTTCGGGATGTCAGGAATACGTTAAAAGGACTTGAGTAAGTGCTTATATCCTTTAAGATTTGTCTTCATTTCCATTGCAGTCGCTGCACAATCCTTTGAAATTAAATGCCCCACGGAGATGCTGACTAAGGAAACTGTTCCATTGACCAGCGATGGAAGATGGAAGTTGGAAGTTGATGGCACTCCTCGCCTCCTCATCCTGCAGTCCCGTGCATGTCCATCATTTGCTTTTGTCTTTCGGTTTTGTTTGCACACGCCATTTCTTGCACAAAATCCTTGCAACCTCAGTGGCAGCCTCTTAGACCTACCACGCCCCCAGGCCAGCGCACCAAACGCCCACCCACGCCCACCGGCATCCCTGCAGCTGTCAGTCAATGTGTCGTGTCACAGTGTCTCTCCATCTGTCTGTCACTTGCATGTCTGTGTGTCTATTCTACGTGACACCAGGCGAGCGAATTTCCAACTCTTCCGCCTCAGCCCAACTTGCAGGCCTGCTTGCTATCCTGCTTGCTGCTTTGCTGCTTTCTTGCTTTCCTGCTTGCTTGCTCTCCTGCTTACTTGCTTGCCGGTTTGCCGGCTTGCTCAAGTTTTCCCGGCAGGACGAAGGCGGTGCGAGGACCTCCAGTGAAGGATGCTCTGGAAGCGATGGATGGATTTTTGGATTCGCAACTTGCACTTGGATTACAAGTCTGATTTTGATGCGTACATGTTTGTCCCGCTCTCAGTCTTGGGGATGGGAAGTACATATTGCACTTGCTGGGACACTGGCAAAACATTTTCAAAGTCAAAAACCTTTGCAATAAAATATATTCTACTCAAAAGAACACTAGAAAAATGGTTAAAATGAGTTTTAAGCTTCATAACTAAAGCCACGGAACCCCAAAAAATGGGTTTATGTTTATATGTTTTTCTATTTATTTATTTTTATGTAAAAATTGGTTACCAACAAGGACCAACATAAGAACTTAGAGTATTAACTCCCATAATAACGTAATTTATAGATATTCCGATTGTACTTACATTAAGAAATATTTACTTACGGAAATAATGTCTTACTTTAAGTAAGATATTAATAATTTAACTTTATTTAAATTGTGTTAATGCTATGGTATATTTTGATTACTTATTGAAGTTTGGTTATTATTATATTATTTTCTACAGACCGTTTTTTGGGCACGTTTGTTCACCAATTACAACTGATAATTGATAAAATTTGAAATACTAATTGTTAAGAATGAACAGATACATAAGTTGGAAACGTACTGGAATTCTAATTGTTAAGAATCTGAAATGAACATATACATAAGTTGCTAAGGAACTGTATCTTAAGGATTCCCAGGGTATTTCCTATATATATATATTTATATCCTTAAATGTTAAAAAGCACATTTCCGAAAATGTTTGTAATGTAATGTAAATGTAATTTTGTTAGTAACATTTTTAACTTTTCTAGACATCATTTTCTTCTCTTAAATAATTTTTTCTTGAGTGGACGCCCCCCAAACCCTTCTCTATTATGGGTCAACCTCACACAAATACCCGAGCTTGGGAGAGTGTGGGAACGCTCAAGTTTTCTTATGCTTTTGTCTTTGTGTCCTTTTATTATTTTATTCCCTGGCCTTGTTTTAATTCACAGCGTCTGCTGCCGCGTCATCCTCTGGCCCGACTTTGTCTTCGTGGCAGTATCCTTCTTCGTCTCCGCAACATTGTCTCAGTCCGCATCCTTGGCAAGGATGCTCACTCACAGACACATGAGTCTGTAGGTGGAATATACGAAGGAGCTGGAAGAGGCGGTGGTCCTTGTTGTTGGCTTGTAAGTGACATTCGCAATTTTCAAAACTATTGAATGAGTGACAAGTTCTGCAGACACGATTGAAACTGACAGTTAACTCGAGACTCGGCAAGCAGTGACTTGCATTAAATGTAGAAGCATGCATGCAGTTATATCTCTAAAAGTCGAAATGCGACCCACAAGCGATCACTGAATATTGTTCAGTGGCTAAACTTTAATGGTGAAAATGCATGTATTTCACATTTTATATGGTAAGGTCAACGATTTTTTAAATAGACTTCAATAAATTTTCTTGTGATTGAGCATGCTGATTCTGAAAGTTACTCTAACGTCCTCAAATCGTGAAATTCTGCAGAGCCCTGATTGCGAAATGTTTTTAAGCCCGTATATTCTTTAATATTTGATAGATACACAGAAAATGTACCAAGTCCAACAATTATTTCTGTGGTTATTAAGAAATTAATTCAACGTTGTTTATTGGTTACCAAAATAAAGAGCATTTGATGGACGTTCCTGTAGAGTTCCTTTTTGCTTTTTTTATAGCATAATGCCCACAGCAAGCCAGGCTTTATAGACTCTTAATTTTTTCATTGCATCTATCTATTTATTTCACATATACTGATGAATGGATTTACCAATAAAATATAGCATTTAATAAGACTGTATGGGCGATGCAGCCGACGATGATGACGCTTCCAACACGTTGAAGAGGTGACTCACTGGCCATTAACAATTTCATTTATTCTGTCGCATCGAATAAGTGAGTTGGGCTTGGTCTGCCGGGGACGTTCGACCCAGTCCGTCTGTCAATGTCAACATCAATGTCACTGCGTCCTGGACCAGACGTTTTGACAAATAATTCAAACCGCATTTTATAATGAATTTCCCAACGGAGGGTGTGACTGCAGTTAGACTGCACCTGATAAGCCCTCCTCCCATATTCAGCCAGACATTTCGGGGAGATTTATGCAAAATAAATTCCAGGGCAGAAAAAAATACCACAACCGATAATCACATTGATGAGCGTGGCTTTATTTTTGGACCCGGCCTTAAGTGCCTCAAAGCGACGAGCTGGCGTCACTCACACTCCCATCATCCGCCCATAAAGAGATGTTTTTATGGGGCAGATTCGAGGAGGCACAGTGTGCGTCCGGCTTGCGGTGACTCCTGAATGCTTTGCGATCGTAAATTTATACACCCCAGCATCATAAAGGCTTTTACGGTTGGCAAATGGGCAGTGAAGATCGGCTAAAGCAAGGGAAATACTTAGGCTAAGCTGGAGTTACAAAATTCAACTAAATTACATTTGATATATTACACCAAATTTATCAAAAGATCAACTATTTTGAAAGCAACCAGCGTCCAATTATTGAAAAAATAAAAGTGACAGTCCATTCCAACACAAAGTTAGTCATGCTTCAGTCAACCTGTTTGGCAAGCTTCATTTACATAATCTGCGTTCATTAAGGCGACCCAAAAAATCGATATCCCAAACAAAAGAAATATTGTTATTACCGCTGACAGCTGCCATCATATTCGATCGTATCGTCAATGTCAATTATCATAAAAACAGCCAAAAATAACTTGAAATTTGTATTTAGCAAAAGTGATGTTTATGATGAGGAAACAAACAAAATTTTGTAATCCTAAGATTCCAAAAAGGAGATGGGCTCTGGCTCCTCCTGTAAATTTTCGGGTTTTGGCAAGATTAATTCACCGATGGGAAAGACAATCACCTTGAATTGATTGTAGATGTGCAGGCTCTCGAAATGGAATCCGTTTTCAACTGCCACGTAATTTTGCTTGGCTGTGAGTTGCCTGGAGATCGGTGACAAGTCCACATTCGTGCAGTTCAGAAAGAAATGTGGAGAACTGAGGGCCACCACCAGTTCGTAGCACCAGTCCAGATTCTCGTTCCAAATGGAGACGGATGCGAAGGGCAGCGTTTCCCGCTGGCAAATGTCGATGGCCTCCTGGCTGTTGCGAAATGTGTGAAAAGTGATGGACCCAGTTGGGTAATCCCCTCCGATCGCTTTAAGGGGGCACTTGCACACCCGTGGAGGGGCGACCTCAGAAGTGTCAGCTTTAATTTCCTCCAGATTGGAGGCCCCACATTTACAAGGGGGTCGTACTCTAGGCTCAATTCTCTTGACGATCTCTTCGCGGATTTTCTCCTCAACCAGAACCATGGCCACCGCATTTGGGGCAGAGGGATTGTGAACGGATTCTATGAGAAAGTGCAGGGCACTATTGAAGTCCCCCTCCTCGAAAATAATCATCAATTGGGGAGTTGCAGCGGCAGTGGTCTCTACACTTTCCCCATCTTCAGTGTCCTGTTCACCTCCTGATGCTACTTCTATGCCACCGAGATCCGGTGAATTGCCCACCAGATTATGAACCATCTCATAGGTAACTGGAATATGGAAAGGTGTGGGCTCATTGGGCTCTAGTTGGGATGGGTGATCCGAGTCAACCGAACGTGGAAAGTATTTAGTTGTATCGAACATGATTTGTGCCAAGATATAATAAATATTTGATTTATATATTTTTCAAATGAAAAATAGAGAAGAGCAAACGCGACTGTCAAAATAGAAAAGCATTTGTCTACACTGAAATAATATATTGTTTTTGGTTTCGGGGACACAACTTTAAAAGTTGAAGAATACTCCAAATAAATGATAACTTCATGCATTTATATGCGATAATTAATTATCTTGCCTCTATCCAACAATTTAGTTATAATTCTATAACGAAACTAATCATGTGATGGGGCTTAGAAAGTCCTTTCGATGGAGTTAAACCCAACATGGTAGATAAACACAGCGTAGGTAACCATAACCCACGGTGCGCTTTATTTGTTAATCGCTTAATTTATGATCAAATGTGACAGTAAAATTAAAATATCACAAACAGATACAAAGAGCCGAAAATACACAAAAGTGCTTAGCCATCGCCCGAACTGCAATCCGAAAATGCATTTGGATTTGGTGAAATTAGCATTAAAATATTATAAATATTTTGCCAAAATATTACAGTATTTTTTCTCTTGCATTTTAAATTGTCCCCATATTTGGCTTCCAACAAAGGGCATACGATTATGAAACAGCAAAGCACAACTAGCAACGACAATTAAAAACATTTAAAACCGCAGAAATATTTTTTCGCTTGGAGCAATGGCAAACAAACAGCCTCCCACAAAAAATGAATAGTAAATTCCCTAACGAGTTGAGGGACATCCATGTGGGCATCAAGTGCAGCAACAACACAGCAAATATAACAAAACGATAATTCTGCTAACGATGACCATTTACATATATCAAGAGTAATTATAATAAAATGCCGAAAATAAAATTAAAATTAATATAGAAAGCCGATTATAAAATCCTGTTTATGCAAACACATATCCCACACACTTTTCATGTAGCAACAACAACTGTCAAAAATAGCAAATCCCATAAATCAACAATGAAATTTCGACCAGAAAAAAGAAATTGAAGCTCAAATAGAAAAAAGTGCAAAAACATGCCTGATTTTGTATACATAATTGAAGACAAATAAATTTGTTTTTATTTTCTACACAACCATTGCTTTGACCGAAACAAATCATCACCAGATTTACAGAATTTTTATTTCAAAAAGTAATGCTTAACTTTTTGGAGGCATAGAATAATCAGTCAACTTCTGTGAAATAAAAATTAATTCATATAGAGATTGTCTACAAAATGGTGGAAAACTTAGTAAAGAAGATGAATGTAGTACTAATTGGGGTAAGTAATTGAAAAGCAGTCAGTTTTAGAAGACTCAACCACAAACTCAATTTTTTAGCTGGTTTTGGCCACGTTACTGCGAGTAATTATATTTTACACCATTAAACATAATGGCTTTAAAATAACTACTGATGTAATAAGTTATTTTATTGGTCTAACAAATACCATTTTCGTTATTATAGTCCTATTTTGGGCCAGCTTTTTTTTAGCATATTTGACTGCTGATTGGATTGCTGTAGGAGTAAGTAACTAAATACTAAATACGTTATAAAGAAAGTAATATTTTTAATTAGTATATACCTGTGCTAATGTACGTCCTAAATTGGACGTATTACACATTTTCAGAGCGACTACGGATCCTGAGTAACAGCTATGATTTATACATGGGGGAATTATCCCAAATGTGGCTAAACTACTTCAATTACAATGCCACGAATTGGCCAACGCTTGAAAAGACGGTAAGGTTTCCTCCTTTTTAATTAATACGATTTTCTATAGCATTTATCACCTTTCAGCTTCAATGCTGTGGATTGGAAGGCCCCCGATCCTATATGAGTTATTTGCAGGAGGTTCCAAAGCACTGCTATAATCCCGAGCTAATTACTTTAGGTTGTAGTCATTTAGTTCAGAACATATTTTACCCAATGCAGCAAATAGGTCTCTTGATGTTTAGATTGACACTTTGCTTGGAACTGATCATATTATATATTTATGCGTTTAAAGTGTATAAAAAACTATTAAGTTTGACTGGTAAAATAAACCAAAAAAAAAGTTTTTAGTCAATATGGTTTGTAAATTTAAATAACATTTTTTTTTATTTAAAACTTATTTGTCTTTATAAATTCTGAATACATTCATAAGGTAAATACTTTGCTTAGAAAGTTTTTAGCCAATATTGTTTGTAAATTTAAATACCATTTTTTTTATTTAAAACTTATTTGTCTTTATAAGGTCTGAATACATACATAAGGTAAATGTTTTCTTTAGAAAGTTTTTAGCCAATATTGTTTGTAAATTAAAATGTAATTTGTTTTTTATTTAAAATTTATATGTCTTTATAAAATCTGAATACATATATAAGGTAAATACTTTGCTTAGAAAGTTTTTAGCCAATATTGTTTGTAAATTAAAATATAATTTTTTTTTATTTAAAACTTATGTCTTTATAAAATCTGAATACATACATAAGGTCAACATTTTGTTTAGAAATTTCAACTTTGATCAAAAGCATGGCAATATTAAATGTCCATAAAAACTACATGCACATATCTTCATGGTATTTATTGTTTTAGAGTGCCAATTTTTATCTATGCCACTTTGGCGCATAAAACATGCAGATGACAAACCTGAATGGGACAAATGAAATAAATTGAAATTAGCTTCCTTTTGTTGCCGTTGACAATTTGAATAAAATTAATATAAATTTTCTCACATTTTTAATTAATAAATGTCAAATATTTTGCGTATGGGTATTTATTTGTAAATTTATTTGTCTGATTTGTAAATTTCCTCTTTTTTCTGTTTGTTGCCTTTTGTCTGTTGTGGCATTTCATGGAAAATTGATTTTGTTGTAATTGCGACGATAACAAATTTCCCAGGCATTTCACGGTGGGGGAAAGGGGGTGCAAAAAAGTTTCGAATGGCGCCAAACATAAAAATGGGTGAGAGAGGTGAAAGACTGGCGGAAGCATACTGTGGACTCGTGCAGCGGAAACGGAAGTCAATATTAGTAGGCAAAAATGCATTTTCGGAATTGCAAAACAATTCACATTAAGCAAAACGCACGAATTTTTGACAATTGTACACAATTATTAATGGTCAGAATCTGTCGCGCTTTGCTACCCCGAATTATTGTGTTTGTCTATTTTTTTGCTTTGAAATTTGTATTTATATAGATGATATCAGGATATCAATTTTGGGAAATTTATGACCGAAAGTCGTGCTTGGCCACTGTGGTCTAAGGTAGATAAATGCAAATTGCTTTCGATTAGTTTTACAATTGATAAACAAGCCTATTCAAACATGCATTTACATGGGTGGCTTAAAGACTTTGATAATTACACCAGCTCACAAAAATAAGTTCGACAAAATGCTCATCCGAGAAGTCTTCGATTTTTGTGGGAGTTCGATTAAGAAAATTACACTTTTTTTTAAGTTTGTATTATTATTTTTATTATTATATAAAAAAGCTCCACGAAATTCAAGTGCCGAAAATATATACTCATAAGGCCGTAATTCATTAAATCTATTCTACTCGAAGATAAAATATTAGCCTATATCTAGTTAAGGTAAATAATTTTCATATTTAAATTAAGTTCTTAAAAAAGTGTTTTTTATTTAATCTAATTTAATTTCATTTACGCATGTCTAGGAAAATAAAGAAATAATTGTAGTAAAAATGATAGAAAAAATGTAATTTTCCCAAACTGCAACCAAAAATAAAAGTATCGTTTGGTGACCATTTTGTTTCCTGCAATTTGAAAAATGATCTTAAAAAACTGATTCAAATTATTTATGGTACATATAAAGATCTAAACAAAAAGTCAACACACTAAAAGGAATTGAATAATAATAAAAACACATCAGATATTAAACAAATTTGAGCTTCAATAGTAAGTACCCCCTTTTTATTTCATATCTAAGAAAATAACTCCTTAGGATTTTAAAAGTAATTAATTAGCCAAATTATAAAACCCAATTAAAGCCAATTATAGTTCCGTTTTCTCATACGCATGGTAAGCTTAAATTGGCTAAAAGTCAAACTCCATACTTTTTCTCACTTTAAAACCCTAATTTTAGCCTACCAAGTGTTATTGAACTGCTCTGGCCACTCTCGCTATCGGGTTTATGGATCCGTTGTCAAAGTCAGTCATTAAACACGTGAACGATCCAGCGAAACCTTAACGACTGTGGGTGGGTGTGACGTGTGGGGGCTATGAAGTCGCTTTGATTGATTGCCATTCCCGAATTGACGACGATAGGAGGACCACACGCTTGTTAACTCTGTCAGTGTTAAATTTAAAAATATACACATCGTGTGCGATAAGTGGAATGCGGAGCTGGAGACGAAGTGCCAGGCCCAGGTCATAAATATGGCACCCACGGAATTTCTTATGGCTCGTACGGATGGGTGCTTGCAAATATTTTGCGGCTGGCAAGTGTCAAACATTGGCCATCGCCATCAGAGTGGGACTTATCATTTGCTCATAAAAATGTCAAAACTATCACGTTGACGTTGACTGATGACGGCGAACCGAAAGGGAGGACTCGAGGTGGCATTCCACTTGCGATCCTTGTGCGGCAGGATGCCAATGTTAAATGCCTCGTCTCCTCTTGCCCCACTTGTCACACATCCAGTTCTGCCATCCTTCAACACGCATCCTCCTGTTGACTGATTCCATTTCATCTTTTTCCCATCGTGATGTGATGTTTTTTCACTCGGTGCCACTGCACTCAGCCATCCATCTACATCTATCCGTCAATCGACTGAGTCGGAGTTGCTCTCGAAGCCATCAGCAACCATCCTCATTCACATTCCCATTCCCATTCACCTCCTCTGTTGGGGCATGATTCATGGCTTCGATTGAATTTTGATTGACAATATCGCAAGCATTTAAAGTGTCTGTTTCCGCATCTCCGTGTTCTATGAATATTTTTTCTCCACTTTCCTTTCAAGTGGCTTGACTTTCGGTTTGGATCGCAAGGCTTCAACGTAGTGATTTTAAAAATCATTTGTCATTTGACAGATGAGCGATTGATTGACTTCGTCGGTTATGAATTCATCACAGCAAGTGGCTGAGTTATCTCAGGATATAAGTGAGCTTATGTGTTTTCATGGAATGTTAATAGCTATTGTGTGTCTTTTAGGGGAAACAAATATAGAACTGACCAGCCCATTGTAATTGGGCAGGTATAATAAGAATGTAAAACAATAAATTTAAAGAAGTAAACCATATTACCCTAGACTATTGATTCATTTAGGTACTATGTACAGGAATTCGCCCCGTGTCTCATATCTTTTGGTTTGGTAACCCTTTTGTTTCTTGCAATTTGGCAAAGTGATCTTAAAAAACTGGTTCCAATTATTTATAGTACATATAATAATCTAGACAAAAAGTCAACACACTAAAAGAAGTTGAACTGTTAGCATAATTGATGAAATCATTAAAACACATGAGGTATTAACCAAATTTGAGCTTTTATTTCTTATCTAGGAAAATGACTCCTTTAAAATTTAAAAGTAATTAATTAAACCATATTACCCTTAACTATTGATTCATACAGGTACTATTTATAGGTATTCGCCCCGTGTCTCCTGTCTTTCGAAGTCAAATCTTTTTTCCTATAATTTAATAATGGCATATAATAACTCATAGCTTATAATCACGTTTTTTTATCACGTTGCCAATGGGAAAAAACTAGTTCATGTAAATTTATAACCTTTAATATGTGTGTCATCCCCTGCTCGATATCGATTACAAGCCCCATTATGAGCACCCACTCTGTGACCATGGACGTACACATTAATTAGCGATAAGATCGCCTTTGCTTCTCTGGATGTGAAAATATCAATTTCATTTTGACATTGATTGAATTAATTTATGAGCTGTGCCTTCCCAGCCGTCCGCACCCAACTAGTTTATTTATGACCGTTACCAATTCGAACCAAATCAGAGCGATTTGAGTGATTACCTGTTTGACCAATTGGAGATTTATGCTCCCAACTGGAGTGAATGTTGTCGTCCCAGCTGGAAATCTAATCGATAGGGACTGTCTGATAAGGATGTTTTAAATTGGAAGTTCGGTTTGAACTACTATTGTATGGGAAATAAATGACTTCGTGACAAACTTTGTTTTGTTTTTGAAGAACTCTGTTTCTGTAATTAGACCATAACCAATTCTCTGCTCTAAAGAATGTGGGAGCCACAGAAATTAGCTGTCTTGTGAATTGAGTGGAGTTATCATTCTGATCAAGAATTTTATACGTTGGAGCTGAAACCGTTTTAACGTTTAATTTATTATACCCCATCTCCACTAATGTATGGTTTAGAAATAGATGTTCACATGTACTGTGCTTCATGTCAACAGTTAAAAGAAAAGGAAAATGACATAAACACACTAAGGAGTTTTCCAAAAAATCATCCGATGCACCAGACATTTTTTGAAAAAATCGACAACTTTGCGATTTTTTCAATGCAATTCTCATTGAGCAATTTAATTGAAATCCTTTCCATATTATAAAGTATCATTTTATTTACAATAAAAAAAGTAAGTGTGAACGTTCATAATCGTCTTTCGCAGTCCATTGAAATTAATCGTGTTGAATTTTCACTTGACAGAATAAAAGCTTCAAAAATGCAGTTGTCAATTGTCAGCTGCAACTGCAACTGCAACCGTTCATGGCTTAACATTTTTTGTCCCAGAACAGATATGCACATAAAGCAAATGAAACCGTCACGCACTTTTTGGGTTTGCCATGGGAGGGGGAGGGGGGGTCGATCACGTCCAGTGGACGGCACATTTCAATTTACTCATTGCGCCGCTGTCAACGGAGGAGGTTTGAACCTGTCGCAACCTGAGGCCTGACAACAATCGCCCACAATCAGTGGAAAATGCATTCATTTTAGGACATTTTTCAGTAATTGAAAGCGACTTGCCGCACAAACCGTTTTTAATTATTTTTTAAAATTTATAACTCCTGAATCGGACCCCTTGTAGGTGCTGTGCACCCACAGCAAATAATTTGCAAATTATTACGTATTTCCGTTCGGCTGTGGCATTTATATATATTTTAATTTTAATTCAATTGCACGTCGCTCAGAGGAACGAACTCTATGGAGCCACTGGCTCTTCAAATAAACAGACATTTTGACGCAAATTATCCGCTGTGGGCACAAGGGCTAGAGCTGATTGTCTTTGAGCTTATTATTTGATTAATGAAAAGGATTTTCATATGGTTTTTTATCAGTTTTCAGTTTCAGTTTTTATAAGTGAAAGCGAATTATACTTCAATTTCTTTGTATAAGTGCATGTATAAGTGCTCTCGAATAAAAAGCACACTCACAAATTATAACGTAGTTTTGAAAGAAAATGATTTTTTAAAATTAAGAAATATAAAGAAATGTTGGAATGGTTTTTCATTCATTTGAGAACATCCATAGTTCGACTGTTTAAAATAATTAGCATTTTCAAAAACCATATTTTTATTAGTTTCAAATAAAGAACAAAAACATTTGAATTTCCATTTCCTGAAGTCTCTATAATTTGAACTTGTTTTATTGCCAAAATAATGTATACATGCACGTAAGATATATATATTCTATATTTCGATGTATCCATATATTCATAAATTTATAACTCCACCTTAGCTGGTGGCAGATGAAGGCCCCAGAAATTAAGGAATAATTCGATCGGAATTAAGAGTAATAAATCAAGTATTAAGTTGGTAATACTCCTGACCCATTCCGGAATTAAAAAAAATATATAATGGCCATATTATTTGATCACAACGTATTTAAAAGCAATGATTCCGTCAGCCGAATACTTGCCTGAAAGTAATAGTCAGTCTCCCAAAACCATTGTACCTACTAAAGTTTTAATTAATTTCAACATTTTAAAATATTTTCAAAAAATATTGAGATAAAGAATAAATTTTCAAAGTGCAAGGTGACTTCGTTTTATTGAAGCCGAGTAGTAAAACGCCTTACATGCAAAAGCAAAATATTTTGAAGTCCGGATCGCTGAGGCAATGGGACTGGGCCAGATAGTGGTTGACCCGGCTGATGGGGCTGGTCAACAGGATGGCGTCCGACAGCCGAACGGTGGCCTCGAACTCCCCGTTTCCGGGCACAGTCCGCACTCTTAGCCGCAACTCGTAGACGAAGGACTCCTCGCCGAAGTCCAGGAAGTGGGCGAGCAGGACCATCTTGAGCCTCAGCCGCCGGCATCGTCCGAATGGTTTCACCAACTTGTTGATGGACTCCACCAGGAAGCGACTGCACCGCAGGACCAGTCCGTCGTCCGTGGGCACTTCGGTGAGCTCGCGGCAGAAGCAGAAGAGGGAGGGAATGTGGGCCAGGTCGCAGGTCCTGTGATCCGGGACAGGCAGGAAGAGACTCACGGCGCGGGGTATCTTCTTTTTTGGACAGGAGAGCAGGTTGTTCCTGCGAACCTCTATGTGGGCATCCTGCATCTCGCCCAGGCTGATCACATCCCTCAAGGTCTCGTGCAGATCATACGGTGTGATGAGGCTATGGGCATTCTTCTCCAAGTTCTCCATGGCCATCGGGTATTGCTGTTTGAGCCACTCGGGATACATGGCCACCAGGAGGGGCTGCGACTCCTCACGCATTCCCTGAAAGCTGGAGCGATAGTTACCAGCACGCAGTCCGTGGTCCGACATCAGCAACAGCAGGGTATTGTTCAGGACGTTCGCGTCCAGCAGACTCTTCAAAAGCAGCATGTAGGACAGGTCCAAGTGCGAGGCATACTCGTAGTACTCCTCGACTCCCTGTGATTGCCAGAAAAAAGAGAAGAAGGGTCCTTGCTGCATATGGGGTACTAGTTTGAGGACAAAGTCCCCAAGGACCTCTTGGAAAGTGCGTCCTGCCGAGCAGAGGATCCTTTCCTTCAGATCGATACTGTAGCGCGTGTGAGTCTCCATCTCCACCATTACTGGAGTCAAGTCGAAGTCGGCCAGTTGCCTGGGAGGAGTCCATCCTCCTTTCCTATCCGCAAAGATGTCACGGGGTCTATCCTCGCCGTAGGCTGTGCTGTAACCTCCAGCCTTGAAGTTCTGAAACAGCCAAGTTCCCTCCTTGGACTGCAGATCCCGACTACTTAGGCCACTCAAGAAGGGCACTAAGTTGGCATACGCATCCAGACCCACTCGACTATAGCCGAAGAACTTGGTGTGCGGCTGGTTTTCCAGAAAGGCCTTCACCAGGGGGAAATATCGCATGAAGTGCATGTGCGAAACCGAGTCAATGCCTAGCACAATCACAGACATTTTTTCGGGACTCGATGTCGCTTTTGATTGCACCTCAGGAGGCGGAGGCAGAAAATAGTGCACATCATGATATCGGGTTTCATTCGACTGATTGGAGCACTTGATGCGAACTATCTGGTGACCAGTACCGACCCTTATTTCCTCCATCGCCCCGTTCCTCATATCGAAGTGTCCATCGGGTAAGTACTTCCTAGATCGAAGGTCTCCTGCAGACTTGAGCCAGTATCTGCACTGCAAGTCCTCTGCAACTCCATTTCCCACTAGGAAGTTACTGCCACCTTGAGTTTTCGCAATTATCAACTGGGGCATGTGGCAGCGCAACCTGCACACTGGCTCAATCGCCATGAAATACGCCGCTGGTTTTCGAGGTCCACTCACATGACACTCGGAGGTGTTAATAAAGACAACTTCTTCGGGGGCCGCAACCACGGGCTTTTCCTCATACAACTCCATTAAAGGCTGAAGACCAAAGTACAGCATACAAAAGACGCCAGTGAGGAGCATCAATGCCCTCATTCGCCACAGCATTTCACCTCTCGTTTTCTAATGTCTTGTTGAATAAATTCCTAAAAAGAAACTAGTACGATTGAAATACCCCTTAAAGACATCAGTCTTACGGCCTACTGTCTTAAGGCCAAAAAAGAACAATAGTCAGCAAATATAAGCTTCGTGGGTAAACCGATTCAACCTTCTTCAACTGTTTAAGTAATTTCCATTTAAGTATTATATCATTAAAACTATGCTGTTACTGAATAAATAATATCGAAAAAAAACAGCTCACAATTACAATTGTTGTTGAAGTTTATTTTCATACCTGAACTCTAAAAGAGAAATTAATTAAAATGGCCAAAAATGATTAGAAAATTCAAAAATGAATTAGTAAAATAAAGAATATATAAACTCAAATTTACTGGCAATTGTTGATCCCACAATTCGATAGTGCCAGTGCAAAAATAAAAAGGAGAAAATAAAATAAAGCCACTAATAAATAAGGAAACAACTAAATACCATTCCAAAATTATTTTTGCGATTGTTTTAAATAAACAATGAGCACAACTGTACTGCTAAACATTTCTGGCTCGGCTTAGCCATGTAAATGTGTGCTTTTGTCCATTTAAATTATAAAATCTAATCACCTTTGTTTAAAATTTAATGAACGCAATAATTTTAGAGGATTTGCATCCACATTCTGTTTTGGGAGTGGAGTGTAAATTTTGGGGGAAATACATTCTGCGCGATTTGGGTAATTGGCGACAGCCGCCAATTCGCTGCGGGGTGTAAAAAATGACCAGCAGAATTCATAAAAACTAAACAACATTTTCTGAAAAAACAAATAAAACGGATTTGTATCTATCGACGGCCTAACAAAACAAAGGAGATTATGGAAAAGCATAACAAAAGAGTTTTATTTCTCATTTTTATTTATCATCGTATGCAAATAAGCAGTTTACAAATACCAACAACCAAATATTTGAATGGTTTGCTTAAAAATCGAGCAATTTATTTAACAAATTATCCATTTTAGCGCTGTTCGCTTTGTTTTGTCAAATGAGGTTAATTTGTGTTTAACCTGACATGTGCTGGTCTCCGCCTCTTCCTGCGGTTAAGTGTGGGTAAACGCAGTTTGCTGGCTTTTCCAGCCATTACCAGTGTGGGCAATGGCAGTTAGAAGCGTCGGTATGGCGAAATTTTACAAATTGTTGGCTTTATGGAGAAGCTTACTAAAATCACTATATAATACTTCGGTTTACATAGCTAAGCTTATTGAACAAACGTTTTTTTTCGATTTTACTGAGACCCCACATTACTTAACATTATGTTCTTTGAAAAAGCCATAGATTTAGAAATACTAAGTGGTTAAGTGACTTTTTTATTAACAGAATCTGAATTAAATTATAAATTCCTATAACCAAATTAAAATATTGTATCCTGACATTTAGTTAATTTATATTTTTGACTTACTTGTTGTTAAAGAAAGTTCGATTCTGGATGATTTGGCGATTTCATGGTGGGATCGAATTGTCGCTCATTTTCATGTCCTGTGCAGTGGCATTCCTGATACTTTACATAACTATATGGGCTTTTTTGCACATGCAAATGCACATATACAAATCCAATCCAATATAATTGCAGTGGACATGCCACACCATGGAGTGTTTTTGGGAAAGTGGGTGATGGTGGTGTGGCTGGGTGTATGTGATGGTGATGGTGCGTTGACGTTGTCATCAAAATAAAAATTAATTATGCATTCTATGCGCTGCATTTGAATTGCTTTTGTTGTTTGTTACTGTCATTCCCATTTTGAGTGCGTTTGTTGTGGCAGCGTTGCAGTTGTTAGTGTTTTTGTTGTGCGGGATTAATGTGGCATTAAAGCACCGCGCACACTTTTTAGCATTTGGATCCGATAACTGCGGGGCAAATAAATTACAAATATAATAATTAAGCAGCATTATTTTTGACAAAACAAATGCACAAACACCGCCACATCGCAACTCACCCCCCGAAATCGTGGGAAATCGGGGGCGGCTATCTGGTGCAACATAGATGGCGCCACTTTGGGGCGTGCTGTGCGCTGTGTTGCTGCACTAAAACGCATTTGTGCATAGGAATTAATTACGCATAATGACAATTTGATAAAATTGAAAAATTACATTTTATTTAAATTGATTTATTGTAATTAAAAATTCTATAATGGCACCCGGGGTCCGAGTTGGCGGTCCAAGCCCGAAATGCATTTGTGAACAATGCGAATAATTTTATCAGCACGGAACATTGTTATTGGATGATTGTGTGCCATTGATTAGGCCTACAAAAGTATTCAAATAATTGGCAAAAGTATTTCAAAACCAGTCTGATATCTGGCTTAAGTTGCATCCTTTATGCGGGCAATTGGAATGGAACCAGAACATGGAGATATCCTGATTGTTGCTGATATTTAAAAGTGTTTGCTTCTATTGTGCATTATATTGAATTCAGAATAAACTCTAGAACTTTTCCATAATCTCAAAGGTTGGTAAAAGCATTCAAAAACCATTTATTCAAGTTAGTGCTTTCTTTGACCAAACATTATAGTTTGAAAATCACATATAGCGACTTTCCAAAATTTGTAACAAGTTTACTTAGACCGTTTTTTATGAATTGGCTAAATAATGTTAATTGTTTTTTTTCTATATTTTTTACAGTCAATAAAATCTCTAAAAAAATCTTCAATGGCATGACAAAATTTTGTAAGTTTATTATCAACACATACGGAATTGAAAGCAACCAACAAACAGGAAATCTAATAAAAATAGAACACATATGATAGCTTTTCCTTGAACCACTGCACCAAGCTGACTTTTTTATGTGTAACTTGGAGCTCCTCTTCCTCGGATTGTCCCATTTCCAGTTGATGAGGAGTCACCTCCTTCGCGTCCTTAACCTCCTCCACTTCGATGGCAACGGTCATTGTACTTGTGGTAGCACAACCAGAGCCCATTCCATCATCCCCCGAACAATGCTCCAGAGTTTCAATTAGGATGTTTTCCGTTACGGGATTCTCTACCTTGACTTTCACACGAATATCGCCGCCATATCCAATCTTTTGGCCATCGTAGCTCAGCGCTATTTGGCAGTCCACCATGCTGAAGTACTTGAGGTACATTCGGTTCGTTTTGCTAAATCGATTGGCAACAATGCCACCGATATCATGAAAGAATCGATATACAATGTAGGCTCGGTCCAACTCATAGTCGCTCACAGAGATCCAAAACGTGTTCCTAGGCTCCTGGATTTCCTCTTTCTCAGATATTGCAAGTTGGTCCTTTCTTAAAGTCTGAACAGTGGGGTGATCTTTGGACTGTTCACCAGCGGCGGTTGGTAAACAGCCATCTTCTGAATGCTCTGAAAACCAACGCACCTCGAACTCTTTTCTATAACCATTTGTATTATCGTTCATTTCGTGTGCTCTAAATTATTTATTTTAATTTTGTATGTAGAATGCTTGTGATTATTTTAGTTGGTTATACTGACAGTTTGTGGAATGAATACTAAGCATCATATGTAATTTAGTAAATAAAAGAAAGTTAACAAACGTACTTGAGTAAACAAAAATATGAAATAAAGCAAATTTGAATTGAGTTGGCACTGAGTTCAAGGCCTTTCGGTATATGAAAAGGGAAGTTGCACTTACAGAGTAACCGATTTCGATTTATCTGTTATTATATTATAAACAGCAAGGTTATGTCAATTTATTTCTTTGAGTTTAATAGTTATAGAGTGACAAATTCTTGAAAGCCAAAGAAAATATAGTCAAGAAGGTAAACTCTTAAAAGAAAAGGTAAAAGTTATCCACTAAAAAACTAATTGAAGAAAAGTATGATCAAAATAATAATAAAAATACCAATCTTTTTAAAAATATGTTCGTGGTCTTGTTTTTGTCTTATTTTTTAAAATTTGTTTAATATTTATTATTGAAGATCGGTTTTTTTGTAACGGATTGGTACAAACATATATATACAAACATTTTTATAGAGAATTTCCCCTTATTTGTTTTAAAAGCATTTGACCAAAATTGTAATATCTCCCGAAAGGGAATATAAATTTAAAAAGAACAAAACTAAATCGGTTCCCACTGATGGATAAATCCTTTCCATGTTTTATTTATGAAAATTTTATTTCAATTCCTGAGGAAATAACGAATATGATTTAGGTTGCCCCATGACCCCACCGCACTCTCCACGCACTCTGGAACTCACACGAAAACTTTGGGCTAATCCAAGCCACAAGAACCGGCCAACATCAAACGGTTTTGCTTTATTTACGCATAATTTCGTACAATTTATGAGCTAGGTATTCGGGGCTCTACATACATAAATTTCAGAGCTCCAGAACGCCGGGTGGGGATACGAATCGAGGCGAGTTCAAAGCGTTTTCCGGGCCCAGAGTCAATAAAATATTACAAATTAGCTGATATAAATACAAGTAATACTTGGAGGCGCCAATGCCTGTGAAGTGGTTGTGATTGTGACTGCGACTGTGACTGTGACTGTGACTCTGAGTGAGGTAGCAGTGGCAGCAGTGGTTGTGGCTGCCACCCACAATGGGGCACAAAGAGGCCGCCGCGGAAGTGTCTCTCACCTGGCCCATTGTGAGTGCTATTAGCCGGATCGGAGATTAAAGGCGGCTGCTTCCGTGGGCCAGGTCAGAAGATCTTCAAACGGAGAATCGATGCCTTCGCTGATTGGGTCTCATCATAATTCCGGCCATCGAATGAGCTCTTAGTTTGTTTATTTGTTTGCCAGCAGTGGCGGCGGCATCCCTTTGAACCGACCGACTCTATCGAACTCAGGTGCGATCTGATGGATCAGTCCGAAATCCATAGTCCGTAGTACTTCCCTTCAACCCTTTCATAATCCACGGTGCTTGCAACCGGGATATCCAAGGTGTTAATCATCCGCGAATCGTTAGGCATAATCCCGAAAACTTCTAGATCAAAGACAAATCTCCTTCTTGACCCGATAAAATAAAATGAGCTATTCGCTAACGAACTGTGATCTATCTGTTGGCCCGAAGAACAATCCTCTGGAATGTTTGGCCCCGTTTACACCTTTTGTATCAGGTCTTTGGCAGGTGTGATGTTATCAAAGGGAAAAACAGGCATAAATTCATAATGTTTTGCTCGATTATGCCCTTCTGTAGTGGGAAACATGACGCGAAACAAACGAAACGATTTTTAATACCCAGATTTCAAAAAAAAATTTTAAAAACTAGGCATTTGATTTGAAAAACGTTTTAAACTATACAGAAAACCTGGTTTTCAAATGTTAAGAACAACTAACCTATCGTATTAATTTGAATGTGCCGAAACAGTTTCCCTAAGTAAAAAGGAAAAATATTTTATAATGAATAAATATTATTAATTAATTCATTATTATTTATAAATTTTTAAAAACTAATTCAAAACTTGCCCTAATAATGATATCGGAGCAACATGAGCTGAGCAATCAAAAAATCTTCTGAAATCAAACAAATACAACTCTGAATAGTTAATACTCTATAATATTTTTTCATTCGGCACGAGGCTTAAGTAAATACTTATATTTATCAAAAATATCAGAGAATTTTGTATACATTTAAGCGGAAATAAACATATTTTTTCTTACAAAATGTACATATCGTCTCAAGTTTTTTACCTCCTTAAAGTTTTTTTATTAATTGAGCTACATATGTATATACCACTGAGGTATTAATAAGATATCACCGTAAAATTATTATAATGGAATGCTTAACTAAAATCAATATTATAAGACAAATATTGGTTAACAATTTTAAAAAGTAGGGCGTGGGACTCCGCGCGAAAAGAAAATAAATAAATGAATAAAACAAGTTTTCCAATTAATATACCAAACCGTTCTAACTGTTGCAGTTTTCTTTTTACCAATTTATAAAGAAGGTATTATTTGAAAGTTTCCAAAAAATAAAGTATTATCTTGCATTTATCCCCGACAAGCGGCTCACATTGTGGCAACACACCGTCAAAATCGCAGCAACATGCCTTAGTAAGCTTAAGAAGCCTAATTGCATGCTTAGATTAAAATAAATATAATGCAAAAAAAAAATTATTACATTCCCTTTTGGAATTCACAGTATTTTATTTTTATTCGTTTGGTTGTTTTGAAATCGCTCACGAACACAGCCAAAAGCTGTTTATATTTCTTATTGGAAGGAGGTGGTGTGTGTGGTGGTAGGGGAGGTTCCGTGGAGGTCGTGCGTCGACGCCTCTGCCAACGTCACTGCTCGAAAATTGCCGGCAATTTTTGCACATGCAGCTCTGTTTACAAGTGTGTGTGTGCGTGTTTGCCTTTTGGATTTGTTTGCGTTGGAGAGCACGCGGCTCTTATTCTCTCTGGCTTTGTTTCTCCCAACTTGACGCTCTCTCTTGCAGCGCTGTTTCCAATCAGAGAGAGAGCGAGAGACGGAGAGTGCTGTGCCAATTGGTCTTACGCTCTCTCATTTCCCCTTTTTGCAGAGACAGCTGTAGTTCCATTTCAAGCGTTCCCCATTGCCCCGCTATTTCCCCTTAAACAGCGTTCGCTCTCTTTCGCTCTCTGCCACGACTTCCCCTTTCCCGAACAGCGGCGCAGTGCGCTATCTCGCTCTCGCACCCAATGGAAGTGGGCTAGTTTAAGGTTTTGCTTCTTTTTCGCTCTTTATTTATTTAGCTTTTTGCGCGTTCTTTGTTTTTACCTTTCTGCGCGTGTGTATGTGAGCTGTGAGTGTTAATTGTTGTTGGTGCCAAAGTAAAGCGCTCTCGAAAAAGGGGGCGGGGGTGTATTGTCATATTCCGTCTTGCTTTATTTTTGCATTCTTCAAGTTGACGTTTATTTTTCAGTTTGCAGCGCCCTTTCCTCTTTTTCGCCTCACCTTGCTTTCAATTCCATTGTCTTTGCCTTTCATTCGACACAAATCATTTTTGTGGGGATGGGATTAAAGGATGAGGGTGATAGAAAAGTTTGGCAAACCATACATAAAAAACTAATTACACATGCATGTATGTATTTACATACATACATACATATGTACATATGGGCTAAAAATTTACATACAGTCGAACTTCCATAACTTGAACTTCCCTCATTCGAATTTTCCATACTGGAATAAAACTGAGTGACAATAATGCTAGGCGTCTATATTTCATTTAATTGTATCTCCGAAAGTAAAACTTCCATATTTAGTCTTATTGGACTGTTTTGAATAATGTGTGTGTTTCAAATAATGTGTGAGGCACTTTAAATATACTACATAAATATACTAAATAAATTCGGTTGACACTTGTGTGTTCATTATATGTAAACACATCCCAACCGAATTTGTATGCATATGTACATACATCAATACAAGTTCCAACCGATTTAACTTTGAAGAGATTTCTGTGATTTACTGTGACTCACATCTAACAACTAAAAAAATATTTTAAGTATTCTTAAATTGTATTTACTTATATTTCGGTGGTGCTTCACATTTCTCTCGGAACCAAATTTGGTTGGAATAAACATATGATGAACATAAAAATTCGGTTTCAAGACGCATGGGATGTATATATGTACATATATACGAATAAGGTTGGAATTGACATGTGATAAACATTCAAATTCGGTTGGTACATATTATAAACTTACAAATTCAAACCGAATTAGGTTGTAAGAGATACATACGAGATAACAGAAATATCTTCAAAGCAAATTCGGTTGGAATGGGTTAAAAAGGATTTTAAACACTGTCCAAAATAATGGACTTAATTGATTAAGTAATGAACATAGCACATCACATCCAATTTTCTTCAGTTGTCATTTGCTGTTTCATTGAAATGAATGTAGCTCAATTTTAATATATTCCCAAATTTGAAAGCATTCCACACCCCTAAGCTTCTGCTGTTCAAATTCTTGTAAGTTGTCCTACTTTTGGGTCCCTCGCGATGGTCTCGCCGAAGAGCAGGGAGCTCTCGAGGAGCATCTTCCTCTCGGGCAGGTGCCTCTACCAACTGCTGGCCTGTGCCTGCCGGAGTTCCCAGCGGACCCCGAATGTCTGCTATTTGAGCACCGGGAGCAACGTGGAGCAATTCCTGCAGAGCAGTTCGTGGCTGAGGAGCAGTATTTTGTTCGTGGAGAAGATCCAGCCGATTTGGCGGGAAGATGGGACTCAGATGGCAAGTCTGGATGGGGAGGATCGAAGCATTGTTCTTGAGATCGAGAAGAACATACTCCGAACGATCGACCTAATCGCCCAGTTCCTTCGCCCAGTGTCGATTGAAGTCTTGCTTAAAATACTAAATCCATTTGGGCATTCCTGGAATATGCTGCAAGATGATGAGGATGAGGAGTTCCCTGTGACCTGCACAGAAGTTACTGCCTTGCAGCCGCTTAAACTGGGATCCATGGATGGTTAAGTTAGTTTGGGGAATCTCTCTAAATTCCTCCCCATCCTTGACCCCCCAGAAGCCGGCTGAGGAACTCTATTATGGGGCGAGTAACCAAATACCAGACGCTAGCCATCTAAAAATTTGACATGTCAGTTGTATTTAAATTTGGAACACATATATATTTTATTAAAAACGGAATCGCTAGAATGCTCAGCCTAAGGAACGGCATCTTTGCGGGCAGTCTTCTCGGCAGCGGCTCCTGCTTTCAGCGACTTGCGCCTTGTTCATGTCGCTCCTCGCGAAGGCCTCTGCCGAGGAACTCTGCGAAGAAACCATTCAAGCCGCAGTTGGATAACAGTTCGGATTCGGTCGAGAAGCAACGCCTGCTGGCGTTAATGGAGACGGGGTGTCGATGTCCTTGTAGGTCGGCCAAGGAGCGTTGGTTCTTTACCAACCGGCGTATTATTCTGTCCCTAGCCACGGCCCTGAATCGTCCGCCGGATTTGGTATGCGACTTCCTGCACTCACTAACCCTGCAGAATTTTTCACGGATCCTGAAGCCAGCCGCTTCCTCGACGATTTCTTGCAAAGTTCCCTATGTAAATTGTAATGTCTGCGAAAACTACATGAGCATTTTCGATACTCGTGGAAATGTCAGGAGCCGCTTTAGCCAGGATTCCCTGGAGCTACTTATGCGTGTCGTTCAAACTGTGTTAAAGCACGATTCCCTTGGGGAAGCGGAACAATTTGACACAAGTTTTGGCGCCCAACGCGGGGCGGAGCACAGGGATTCCATGGCCAAGAGAGCCGGCATTGATCGCGACTCCACCGCTCGACAAAATGGCAAAAGGCGACTGAGGAACTCGGAGGCGAGGGCCCAGCTGACTAAAAGCCGTTTTCACAGCGGTCTGGAGAAGCCCACAATTGGAGATCCTGGCTACATTTTCGGGAATAACTTTCAGCCCACCGACTTGGATGCCCCAGTGCAAAAGCCCGAAAACTGGGCTCCTACGGATTCGCGCACTCCACGGCTTTCCCAGCAGCTGGCCAACCTGCTCATGCAGGTCAATGATAAGACCTACCTGACACGCGACCCGGACCAACTAATAGCTGCCATCAGGAACCTCGAACTGGACAGGATCGTCAATAGACCCAGGCCCCCCTCAACCGATGACAAAATCGTAAAGCGTATATCGGATTCCTACTATGAACGGGTTAATGGCTTTGGTTTAAAATCACAGCTAAAGAAAAGGAGAAAAACTTTGAAAGGTAACACAAAAGAAGATGATCCGAAGCTATGGGAGCCAAGGGAGCTAAGGGAGCAAACTGAGCCAAGGGAGCCACGGAACCGGGTCTACTATGGCGAACCACCCCCGGTGCTCCTCCACGCACCGTTTAATCCGGAAAAGCTTTGGACCTGGCTGCGCTGGCATCCGCACCGGATGGACGAGGGTCAAGAGTCCGAGGGCATCAACCGCCGATACAGCCCCAACGCCATGGAGCAGCTGATGCAGAGGTCCAAGCAGCGGTCCTCGGTGCACACAGCGATCTCCCCGGACAAGGGATCTAAATTCGCAAAAATCAAGCAGATATTCCGACGAATGCAGCACAACTTATAGACAGTCAGTCAACACACGCTCCATCCGTGCAACTCCATTAGTTAATAGAAAAAAAGAAAATTTAAGTCCACATTGTTTCAGAAAGTACCTTTTTTATAACAGTAAATAAAGAATAAAATGTTAAAAATAATTAACATTCAAAAGTTTCTTTTATTTATAAAAATGCGAACATTTTCAAAAACGGAAGCTTGTTAGAAAAACAACAAGAATCGTTCATACAAATAACTTGAAGGTAAATAGACTAAAATATACTATAACTATTTTAGGCTTGCTCTTAAATTTAAACATTTAATTAGGAACTCAATCCCATCCATTCTTAAATGTATTTTAGTTTTAGCGCCTTAACGTGTGAAATAATTTTAATTATGTTATAAAATAAACGTTATTATTAAAAAAAAACATTTTTAATTTATTCGATATTTTTTAAATTCTTTTAAGGGGATATGAAAACTGACGTGAGCATATTAAAAAAATTTAATCCCTTGTTGGTTATTTTTGTCCAACTCTTTAGATATGGAATAGTTGAGTTGACCTCATATTAACTCTTCCTCTTCCTCTTCCTGTTAGTTAACATTCACTAATTGTTCGAGTCTTTTACAAATCTTTTTATTTTATTGGGCTTGAAGGCTCTGAATGATATTTGCTTTGTTATGAGTACTTCTGAAATACTAATTAATAATAATAATAATAGCCCGAAATTTTATAAATGGTTTTCTTTTGTAAAAGAATATGCAACTCAAAAAACAAGTAAGCAAGTAAAGTATATGGTAATAGTTTCAGATATTTTAATTAGTAAAATATCACATTAAAGAATAAACACAGTACTCAAATTGCCAGACTCGATACTGTCGATTGGATTTTAATGAATTTTTTTTTGAATAGTGTTTCGCTCCCTGGTTGCAATGGCAATGCGGCCAAATAACTATAACGATCTTGCCTCGAGCAGTGGCATTGGAAATCATCTTAATGCCACCGCAACTGTGCTGTTAAATCATTTTGATAATGACACCCCAGCTGAAGGAGAAGTCTCCCTTTCGGGGCGCTACGGAATATTATTTTTAGACCGCCACGTCGCCAAGTCGCACCGTGTTTTGGTATATTTTTGTGATTTGAGTTTTATGACGTGTAGTAATTTGTTGGCTCGTTAAGTTTCTTTAATAGGCTGGGCGAAGAAGGGAAAAGATTCGACGCGATGCAACCCGTCCACTGCATATCGAAATGATCTTGCATTTCGCCTGGCTCTCTGGCCAATAAAATTCCCAAATTTTTTACGACCAGAAAAAGGGAAATCCAGCCGAAATGTTTTTTATTGCACCAGAAACACTCAATAAAGCGAATTATTAGTGTTGGATTGCCGTTCTTTGTTTTTGTGTGCTGCCTCGACTTGTCGATTCTATTCCATATTTTTGGTCCGCGTTTTTTAAGCTTTTTTTGCCTCTTCACCCCTTTTTTTTGGTTTAGGTGTAAATGCATTTTTATTACAGTTTTAAAGCCAACAACAGTTTATAGTTGGGCTTTCTTTTTTCCCAAATTGTATACTTCTATTTGTGTGGTTGTGTGTTGAGCCCTTAGCTTTTTTTGTGGAGGCGGCATTTTTAAATGGTGATCTGTTGTTTATGAACATACATATTTATTATGGCTTTTAAAGTTCGAGAATTACAAGATTTGATTAATTGTTTTAATGGATTCATGTGAGAAATTTGTAACAAGTTAGTACATTGCTTAATAAATTAGTTGGGATAAATAATAATAAGTTAAATTATTAGGGTGAATTCAAGTAAGGAGGAAAGCCAAAACCAATTAAGCTTGGGTCAGAAAACACTCAATTCTAAATTAAACAAAAACCTCCAAGTTTTAAAATACCAAATTTTATGCAATTGAACAATCAATTAACATTCATTCTACAATGAAATTTTAGTAATATTTATTTAATATTCATGCATTAAAAAATTGTATAACTGATAGAAAAAAGTGGTTTGCTTAAACTCATCTAAATTGGGGAATGGCAACTACTCGTAAACAATGTCCCCATTCAGACGAAAACAAGACCATAAGCCGCGATGGAGAAATATTCCCCAGTCCGTGGAGCGGAATGTGAACGAGTGTGTCGCCTGTCAGACAGTGACATCATAATAGTGTCATTGTCATCAGAGCTATTGCATCGAGGACACGGCTCACTTTCAAATTGTCAAAAAAGAGCGTCGCAAACGAGGCGAATATGCCAGAGTCATAAATCAAAAAAAGCGCCACATGACGAGCGGGCTAAACAAACAAAAACAATTAGAAATAAGCGCAAAAACTAAACGGAACTGGAGGATGTGGATGTGGATGTGCGCTATGCGCTCCATATGCCGTACATAAATAAACAATGCAGGCCAGGACCAAGCCAGCAAGGAAGGACATCGACAACGACAACGACAAGGACAACGACAACATTTCATCAACGCAAACGAGCGAAACGTTTATCAACTGCTCAAATGGCCATTAAACGTGTGTGTGTCCCGACATCAACGCCCCAAAGCGGCGGTGGGAAGCCAGGACTATCTGCCAGGACATTCATCAAACGATAAATTGAGTGAATGACTTCATGATGGCGATGCAAAAGGGGCACACTTCCTCGCTTCCGGTCACTCACACACACACGGACAATTGGCCATGTTGCAGTGTTTTTGGCCCGGAGGCGGTGCGTTTGCCACGCCCCCTCGCACCAGGCGAAAAGCAGATGGAAAGCCCGGAGAAAAACCATTTTGAGCGACTGTCTGCCTTAAATTGCCATCACATCCTGTTGGAGGTCCTGGCCAATTGTTTCTCTGATTGGTATTCATCCATGGTCTGTCCAGTTGGTGCAGCCGTCAGGACCTGTTATCCTTTCGGCTCCCGTTTTTGGCCGCCTTCCGCCTGCACTCCTGTCTTCGTCCTTAGGCCACATCCATCATTCGGCGCCCGACGTGACGTTAGTGTTTTAATGGACTCCACTTGTCTGCCTTGATCACAGGACCCTGGACCCTGGACTCAGGACTCTGGACTCTGGACTGCAGACCCACGTCCAGTCCCACATCCTTTCGCTGCATTGTTTGTCTACGTGTGGGCAGCCGAGTCTGAGTCTGTCAGCCGGAATGAGGGCTTTTTTATTGCAGTCCAGCTCGGAGTCATTTGCATCTTTATTTGAGTCAGAGGCGTATTTATCTTTCGTCTTTGCAGTTGATTTGGCATACAGTCGAAAAAACGGGTAAGTTCGGAAAAATGTTAAGTAAAAATTAAAATCTCGTTTTTAATTAAATATAAAAATACAAGATAATTATTATAATATTAAAAGCTTAGATAAGCAGCAATTCCTTGTAATTCTACATTTATATTTATAGTATTAAGATTAGTAGCGAATTATCTGAATTCAAATAATACCTAAGATATAAAAATAGAGAGTCAATAAAAATATAAATACATTTTACGAATTTCAATGATCTTAGTATTTCATAATTATTATAATATTAAAAGCTTAGATTAGCAGCAATTCCTTGTAGATTTTTTACATTTCTAGTATTAAGCTTAGTAATGAATTACCTGAATTCAAATCAAAAGGATAGAGATATAACTATAAATAGAGAGTCACTACAAATACATATAAATTATACAAATTTCAATGATCTTAGTAAAAGATTTGTATTTTACCCCTTATCCTGAGACAAGTTTCTTTATTTAAATAATGAAAAATGGTCCTAAGAAGTGAGCACTATTTAATTTACCCAAGTAAAGAAAATGTAAATATTAATAATAGATTATAGATTTATAATAATTTAAACAGTTTTTAATTACATTTTAATTTATCCCTAGTAAAAGATTTGTATTTTAAATAATGAAAAGTGGTGCTAGAAAGTGAGTACGATTTGGTTTTCCCAATTAAAGAAAATGTAAATATTAATAATAGATTATAGATTTATATTCATTTAAACAGCCTTTAATTACATTTTAATTCATCCTTTAACCCGTCATAAGATACCCCAGTTGCATAATGAAGAGTGTCCTAGGAAGTGGGCCCGATTGAGTGTCGAAATCTGTTAGCACAAGACACAAATACATTCCCAGCTTTGTCAGCCAGGATTACCAGAGAACCGGAAATATTGGCAACAGTGTTGCACATTTAATGAGCTTACAATGCCGGAGCTATTGAAGGCGATTCCATCACATTGGCGGCTTACGTCAGACGACTTCCTGACGTTAATCGTGGCGACGGGCTGCTAGCCGATCTTAATCGCTGCTAATATAAACTAATTGGCATACTTAGCCGGAGATGAGAGCTGGCCAGAGTGTGCGGTAGTGCGCCTCACAAGCTCTCCATCAAGATGCGACACGGCCTGAAATTATCTAATGAATTTTCACTTAATCCGAATCAAAAGTGGCGATCAAGATGCGGCATCCGTTTGCATCTGTTGGCATCGTCAGCCAAAAGAAAACTCTTGCCTTGCGTTGTGTTTCGCTGTGTTTTGCTGTGTTTTGCTGTGTTGTGTTGTGTCGTTGGTTGTCATAATCCGATCAGCCGGCGAATCCGGGGCCCAAGGCCCAAGGCCCCAGAGGATCCCATCCCATGGAGCAGGGTCGCAAGAAGAGGGGGGACTGCAGACGTGATCTGCGAGGTCGTCAGCACGATCTCGATCCCGATCCCGATCTCCCCTGCCTTCCTTTCCTCCATGCTGATCCCGTGAGACGCCGCGTTGATTTTCATTTCATTCTCGCTAATAATTCCCCTGACAGATACTCAGGCATAATTAGAGATTAATTGTTCTATTCATAATTGGTCTTGGCTTGATATTTTTGGACATTTGGCAGGAAGGCGAAAATTACATCAACGTGGGCTTCTAGGGCTGTCACAGTTGCTAAATGGCGGGGATGACATATGTATAGAGGTGGGGATGGGATGAGACCCAGAATGACAGCAACAGTTGCCCATGCGGAATCGAATATGAATGTGATGAGTGGCAAGAATAGTTTCTCTAAACATATACAAAATACCATTCCCCCTTAATATCGATCAAATTCTTGATGGCTTGTTGGCTGCTTTCATATTTTTTAAATGAAGCGAACCTTGCTTGTTTTGATTA